TCCTCAAGGGGTTAAAGGGACCCTATAGTCACCAGAACAACTACAGCTTATTGTATTTGTTCTGGTGAGTAGAATCATTCACTTCAGGCTTTTTGCTGTAAACACTGTTTTTTCAGAACATTACAGCCTAGTGATATCTCCACTGGCCACTTCTTAGATGGCTGCTAAAGCTGCTTCCTTAAGCAGTCCTGCCTAATGTGCAGCACTGCCATTCAGTGTCTCCACCCTCTGCATGCAGAAACTGAACTTTCCTCATAGATGTGCATTGATTCAATTAATCTATATAAGGAGATAGAAACATAGAAACATAGAATGTGACGGCAGATAAGAACCATTCGGCCCATCTAGTCTGCCCAATTTTATTTCATGACAGGAGGCTTCGTATTTGCTTTAGTCTCTCTTTACTAGAACTCCACAGCAGCACAGAAAAACAACCAATCAGAAAAAAGTTAGGTACTATAAAACCCCCTTCCCATTGCATCATTTCCTCTTTCTTTGCTGCTCCGCAGTCAGTACAGGTCAGAGTACCACTGCCTCCTGCTTATAGTGGGTGGCTTTGGGATTTAGTGTTATTTATTTATGATTGTTATTAATTATGCTTGCTTGTGAGATTTATGTGCCTTTCTGGCTCTTTTCTTTTCTTTGGGGAATGTTTCCTTTACATTACTGATAGTTTTTCCATGTGTTTCTTTACACAGATTACTGATAGTTTTTCCATGTGTTTATTTACACAGATTACTGGTAGTTTTTCCATGTGTTTATTTACACAGATTACTGGTAGTTTTTCCATGTGTTTATTTGTACAGATTACTGGTAGTTTGCCATGTGTTTATTTATACAGATTACTGGTAGTTTGCCATGTGTTTATTTATACAGATTACTGGTAGTTTGCCATGTGTTTGTTTATACAGATTACTGGTAGTTTTGCCATGTGTTTATTTACACAGATTACTGATAGTTTTGCCATGTGTTTACACAGATTACTGGTAGTTTGCCATGTGTTTTATTTATACAGATTTCTGGTAGCTTTCCATGTGTATATGTCACAGATTTCTGTGAGTTTCCATATGTAGATATATCACAGATTACTGTGAGTTTCCATATGTAGGTATATCACAGATTACTGTGAGTTTCCATATGTAGAAATATCACAGATTGCTTTGATTTTCCAGCTCTATATATATCACAGACTACTGTGAGTTTCCATGAGTATATATTCCACAAATTACTGTGCGTGTCCAGGTTTATATATCACATATTACTGTGAATTTCCATGTAGATATGTCACAGACTACGGTGAGTTTCCACCTAGATATATCACAGATTTCTCGGATTACTGTGAGTTTCTATGTGTATATATATCGCGGATTTCTGAGAATCCTTGGGCAGTATATACTTATATAACGGATTCTGTGAGTTATGGGACAGTGTATACATAAATCACAGATTTCTGTGAGTTTTATGTCAGCACGGCTTGCTGTGAGTCTTAGTGCTATAGATCTCACTATTCTATCTTATCAGGCTTCTTGGGAAGATTCAATGAGTTGGCAATTGTTTTTGCCCTACTCCTGAAGAGACCATGAGTACAATACACTTCAAGCGGTACGATGATGATGATGACCTACAATAAAGATAAAATATCTCATACGGATCTGTATGTACATGTGCATTACAATTCGCATCTTAAAGAAGGTATTGCTCAGCAGAGCTTGATTTTATGGACACTCACTGGAACATGTCCAGCTTAAACCCAATACAACTGGTTTTACCTCTATGTTGCCTGCTGGGCACTTAGGGACCGCCAGTCCCAGTTACGGTTTATTCACACAGTAGTACGCTGTCGAAGATTAGTGTCTAAGGGTACTAGGTCACAGGATACCCGGAGGATTTACAGATATTTAGGGGACTCTGCCAAACTCAGAGGTCCCCATTACTCATTTAAGATGAAACCCTGCTATGTCTGTGCCCATAAGATTGGCCTGCTATGTCTGTGCCCATAAGATTGGCCTGCTATGTCTGTGCCCATAAGATTGGCCTGCTTTGTCTGTGCCCATAAGATTGACCTGCTCGGTCTGTGCCATAAGATTGGCCTGCTCTACCTGTGCCCGAACTCCCCTTTGGACCACAAACCTGGGGGAATATCACTGAAGTAAGCACAGTACCCTCTAGGTGGGTGTCCGGACAGACACTGCTGCCAGATTATCCAAGAGGACACAAGGATATGGACATCTAACTGTGATTGGAGGGGTGAAGGCCCTACACCTCATGCCCTGAAGGGCAAAGTTTTTATGAGAATTCCCGGGCACGCAATTACGGGTTATACCCAACGACGACACATCTCCAATGGGAATTTCGCACAAGCAGGGAACAGTGCTCAGACGCCATATTAGGTATTGGTAGTGTTTTTCTATGTCATGTTTAGCTCCTGACCTTTTCAACTGGATTCACTTGATTAGTTTTTTCCAGTTCTGCTATCCGACCTGCTTTCCGAGGTACGTATTTTCCACTTTCTACTTCATTGGTCGTTTCTTTGTTTTCGTGCCTTCTATTGTCCTATTGCTCGGGTCGTCGAGAGGCCTGACTTGACCTCCTCCGACCTCCCGGGCACCTGTGGATTGCGGAGAACGTCTCCAGCTTTCCTCAGACTACCAACGGTCATCCTGGAGCCCGCGCGCACGCACGGGATCTAGGTGGTCCGTTGATAGTTACCATCATCAGCTCCAAAACGTACTTTTCTCATCTCCCCTTTCTCTAAAGGTTGGACACGGCTCGAGGTTGTATACTTTGCTTATATTAAATAAGGGTGTAACCCCACGTTTGGTCACCCTGAGTCTCTACTGGACTCTGGTTTGGATTACAGAGGGTGCGGCCCTCCTTCACCTCGTCCCGAGACTGATATTTTTATTTTCAAGAGTAGAGGGCGAACCCCTCTCATTTACTGAATCGGACACTGATTCATTATTAGAGGGCATGGCCCTCCCTCAACCTCGGCCCGATACTGAGCTGGATATAGAGGACATGCTCCGAGGGACTCATTCTCATAGAAGGAACCGGACACAGAGGTAGACTCTAAGTTTGACTTCTAACGGGTGCGGCCCGCTCATACCACCAACCGTGCGCGGACTCAGAGTGCGAGCACTTTTAACAGAATGCGACTCTCTCATACACTCCATCTGAGAAATGCCCTCAGAGGTATTAGTTTGGGAGGTTTTCCCACTTATGTACACACATTCCGGGAGACAGTATGGCTAAGCAGGAGCCTCAGTTCTTACAAGAGTACAGGTTTTGGTATAACCTGTGCTATATCAAACAGACATTGCACTCTGTTTCAGATATTCATTGTGTACAAACTGTGCAGACTATTCTCCCGTGTCAGGGTGACATGAGATTCTGAGACCTGCATAGGGCAAACGGGCACTGCCTTGCTTGAATAACAAGACCGGGAAATTCACATAAACGGTCTTCAGGTGCACCGTATGCATGGATCGCATGGAGAAACCAAAATTCTCAGGACTTGGCTTCCCTCGTCCTTACAATCTTGAGATAAAGTTGGCAGGACTGCTCCTACAACTCTGAACACACCTTGAGAACAGTGTTCGGACTCTATATCCATCACGGGAACCATCTTGATTTGGGTTCTCACTAGCCTTCCTATTCAACTACCATCAACGAAACCTACACTGGGAGATACATGCTTGGACAGTCTATGAGACAGGAACCTAGGGGGTCTCACTATATTATTCCCTATCTTGTAGGTGGCGTGTAGGCCAGGAACCCCTACACGAATATTGACAGGTTGGGCATGGAACAGGATTGTACAAATGGTAATCAGAGTATCTCACACTCTCACTGCAACACGTAAGGGTTCTTCTGTGTTATACGGTCCTAAACTCTATTGGATCCAGCCATCTTAGCACTCTTAGAGGACGATGTATTTGGATGGAAATCTCAACCCCGGTTTCCGGTCCCATCCTTTTGAGCTTTCCAGGATCCACAATTCCCAGAATAGTTGACCACCGTTTACCAAACAAGTTCAGTTTGAGACCTTGATTGGACGCCCTTTGGATGTCTTTTCTAGACCGCAGCCGTGGATTACGCAGTCCAGTTGGTAGACTGGAGTCTCTTAGGATACGGCTAGTATTGTCCACACTATTATCTGTATATAACTATTTCGGAGGGGACAATTCACCAGGTAGGTCATAAAGGAACGAATAGACACTATTCGGTTCTATTCGAGTATTGACGGTGGACTTAGGCGCAGGCCTGAGGTTGGAGTTTGTCTGCAAGGCCACATCGCCTGGTGAACCTGACACGATCGGAGGAATCACCTCTCACATCAAGAGTCGAGACACGGTGGAAGTCTCTTCTCGCGACCCCTCGGCACTTTACACCTACAGGAATATGGCTAATAGGTCAACTTGGCAGCCCATGGACCGACTGCTAGGGAACAGGTCGTAACCCCACGTACAATGGATCTATCAACGGAGGTCACTTCTCGCAGTTGGAAGGTCGATTTAGGATTGCTCTAATATTCTCGGAATGGGTACCAGTGAAACAAGCAGCGTTGGATTTGTTGGCTGAGCGTTAAAACAGCAAATACGAAGCCTCCTGTCATGTTATAAAATTGTAGATTATGCTAGCTTTAGTGTACCTATAATCTTAATTTTATTAATGACAGGAGGCGAGTATTTCCCACCCATTCTTATCCCTCCCTTGTTTAATTTTATAGTTTGGATTTATCAGGTACGTATACAACTCTGCTTGTTGTTTCTGCTACCTGTCACCTGTCCTTATGTCTTTTTTTCATAAGTAGGGTTGGGATATCTACATATTAAGGTAATTTTGTTTTGCTACATTGGGTATCTACAAGTTTATTCAAAATACATTTCATTGGATAATCAACCTGTTCGATTCTGTTTTTCTCTCGTTTCAGTTTCCAGTCCTTCAGCACTATCTGGTGTGGCGCTTCTTTGTGGATGGTGGGCATTGACTTATTTTCAGTCCATCAACGCTATCCAGTTGACAGTTCTTCTCAGACATTGGACATTGCTGTATTCATCGTATCTGGACTTCGCTGCTTCCCATTATTTTTTCTGCCTTTGTTCTGTTTTGTCGCAGCTTGAAAGAGGAAGTGATGCAATGGGAAGGGGGTTTTATAGTACCTAACTTTTTTTCTGATTGGTTGTTTTTCTGTGCTGCTGTGGAGTTCTAGTAAAGAGAGACTAAAGAAAATACTCGCCTCCTGTCATTAATAAAATTAAGATTATAGGTACACTAAAGCTAGCATAATCTAACAACATCAACCCTGTTACATATCTTAGTATCATCAGCAAAAAGACATACCTTACCATCAAGACCTTCTGCAATATCACTAATAAAAATATTATCCAAGTACAGATCCCGGAGGTACCCCACTGGTGACAAGTCCAAGCTTTGAATATATTCCATTAACTACAACCCTCTGTTGCCTGTCACTCAGCCACTGCCTTACCCATTCAACAATATTGGAATCCAAACTTAAAGATTTCAGTTTATTGATAAGCCTTCTATGTGCAACAGTGTCAAAAGCCTTACTGAAATCTAGGTAAGCAATGTCTACTGCACCACCATGATCTATAATTTGAGTTACCCAATCAAAAAAATCAATAAGATTAGTTTGGCATGATCTCCCTGAAGTAAACCCATGTTGTCTCTGATCTTGAAATCCATGTGTTTTTAGATGTTAAGCAATCCTATCCTATAACATGGTTTCCATCACTTTCCCCACTACTGAAGTAAGGCTTACTGGCCTATAGTTGCCCGACTCCTCCCTATTACCTTTCTTGCAAATGGGCACAACATTCGCTAACTTCCAATCTTCTGGGACTACTCCTGTTAACAATGATTGGTTAAATAAATATGTTAATGGTTTTGCTAGTACACCACTAAGCTCTTTTAATAGCTTTGGGTGTATTCCATCAGGTCCCATTGACTTATTTGTCTTTACTTTTGACAGTTGAAATAGAACCTCTTCCTCTGTAAACTCACATGTAATAAATGACTCATTTATCCTTTCTCTCAACTGAGGTCCCTTTCCTTCATTTTCATCTGTAAATACAGAACAAAAATATTCATTGAGGCAGTCAGCTAGACCTTTATCCTCTTCTACATACCCTCCTTCTTTTGTTTTTAATCTAACTAATCCTTGTTTTACTTTTCTTTTCTCGTTTATGTATCTAAAAATGTTTTAATCCCCCTTTTTTACTGACTGTGCTATTTTCTCTTCTGTGTGTGATTTGGAAGCTCTTGCTTAGCCTCTTTATGCCTAATCTTATAGATCATTTTGTCTTCCTCACTCTGGTTTTTTTTATAATTCCTAAATGCTAACTTTTTGTTTTTAACTATTTTGGCTACATCTGTGGAGTACCACAGTGGTTTCTTGAATTTTTTGCTTTTGTTTTTTCTTAAGCTTTTTATTATTTTATCACAACGTATCAACAAGACAGATAGTTGTAAGCATTCAAAAGTGTCATTATAATAAATTATTATACAAAAATATAATACAATACAGTACAATATTCGCTGAGAATAACCCTGATAATATCTTAGTCGTTCTAGAGGAGTAAGTCGAATTTAAACCTATAGAGTTATCTACTATACACTAAAACTCCTCTTACAGATGCAACGTAGTACCCAGCGAAGCACATAGCATTTCCCATGCCGACGAGATTACTGGGATAGCCAATTCTTTAGCTCTTGATTTCCGTGGCCGCTTTTATATTATATGCATGAGACTCCCTCAAAAAGAGGTTATTTCATGCATAGCTATACACTCAGGTTCTGCCTAACCCTCTCCTTACATTTTCTCCAACCAGAAGGCATTGTATACCTTCTTTGGATCTCTTCCGTGATCCCTATCCAGCTGACCTTCCATTCCGAGTTGAAACTTGACTTGGGATGTCACCCTGTCCAAGGAAAATAGAGAAGAACTCTTCCAGTTGCGTGCTATACTTAATTTGGCCGCCATCATGAAATGAATATAAATTACCTTATCTTTTTGTTGTAGTGGATCGATATTAAGGTGAAGTAAGGCATTTTCAGGTAGCTTTGGAATGGGCACGCATAGAAGATTCTCTAAATAATTAAATATTTCCTGCCACAATTTAACTACGATCTCACATTCCCACCAGATATGCAAGAAGGAGCCCAAGTTCCTCTTACATCGCCAGCATATCGGTGAACTTGGACTATACATTCTAGCTATTCTTGTGGGAACGAGGTACCATCTGTTGATAACTTTAAACAAGGTTTCCAATAAGTTCAGACAGTGAATAGTTTCACAAGCACGGGGTAATATTGCACACCACATTTCTTTATTTTGTTTTGCAATAATAACCTGAGGAGCCTCCAATTTCAGTAAAGCATTCATTGCCTTGGAAGAAACTTTCTCTATTTTTTATAATTTAAAAGTGAACAGATCAATTTGGTTCCTTCTTGGGGGTGTCTTATAATGTTTTGGGTTAGATAGTTTTTCACCCTCAGAAATGTAAATAGTTCCTTGTTTGACAATTGAAATTCTTGCATTATTGTGAGAAGGTTTTAATTTTTTCGTTGTTATACAAATAATCTATTTGAGTTATCCCTTTTTGGATCCAATTTCTGATATTTAAATCCATAATGTAATATGAAAGTAGTTCCACTTTAAGATTTTTTGAAATTTTATTCTCCATATTAGCTTTTCTTATTATTACTTTCCAAAATTCTAATATTGAATCTATACATAAGTTAGATTGCCTAATAATCCGTAGTTTCGGGTCTGTATACCTATACCAAAGAATAGAACTCAGATCCTTTACTTGACAACTCTCACTTTCCAAGATGTACCATCCTTCCCTTGTTACACTATCCAATTGAGTTCTGTATATATGAAAAAATTCATTTGCTAGATAAATATCAATAATACTTGGAGAACCCAAGCCTCCATCTTTAATTTTTTGAGCCAAGAGAGTTTTGTTAATTCTCGGTCTCTTATTCTTCCAGATGAAGTTATTAATCATATTTTGAATCATGTTCAACCATGGTCTGGGGATTTTTAAGGGGATCATTGGAAACATATTTGCCCATTTGGGTAAAAGATAGGCTTTTATAAGGTTCATTCTTCCCCGCCATGTAATTTCAATTTTTTGCCATTTATTCAATGCATTCGTCATATTTCTAAAACAGCTTAGAAAGTTAACCTGCACTAGATTTGAGACTTTCTTTGTCAACAGTATTCCTAAATATGGAATGCTGGTATTAACCCAATTAAAGTTATAATTGTCCCTTATATGATTTCTACTTGCTGTATCTAAGTTAATATCTAGAATTGTAGATTTATTTTCATTTAATTTATAGTTCGAAACTTCGCTAAACCTCTTGACAATTTTCATAAAAGCAGTAATAGATGTAACTGGCTTAGTTAGGGTTAGTATAAGATCATCTGCATATAGTTTTAATTTCAGCTCTCTCTGTTTCGTAGTGATTCCACTTATTAGATTCTTGAATTTTTTGCTTTTACTAACAAGCCTAATGCAATTTTCTGTTGCCTTCAATAGTGCAACTTTTAAATAATCCCATTTCTCTTGGACGCCATTTAAATTGCTCGAGTCTGATAATGACTCCTCTACCTATATTCTTATTTTTAAAAAGTCTGTTTTTCTAAAGTCTAAAACGTTTGTTTTTGTGTGGTGTGACTCAGTCACTGTTCTTATATTAAACCACACTGACTGATGATCACTGGATCCTAAACGTTCACCTACAGTAATATCTGATACCAAATCTCCATTTGTTAACACTAAATTTAGTATGGCCTCTTTACGAGTTGGCTCCTCAACAACTTGTTTTAGAGACAATCCCAGTAGGGAGTTTAGAATATGTGTGCTCCTGGCACAAGTAGCTAATTTTGTTTTCCAATTTACATCAGGAAGATTAAAGTCACCCATGATGATAACTTCCCCCTTCATTGTCATTTTAGCTATTTCCTCAACTAGTAGATTATCTAACTCTTCAATTTGTCCTGGGGGCCTATAAATCACACCTATACGAGTTACTGTGTGATTACCAAATTGTAACGTAACCCAAACGGACTCTATGTTTGCCTCACTAACTTTTATTAGGCTAGATTTTATGCTATCCTTCACATACAAGGCCACCCCTCCCCCTTTCTTGCCTTCCCCATCTTTCCTATATAAAGAGTACCCTGGTATTGCTATGTCCCAGTCATTTTTCTCATTGTACCATGTCTCAGTAACAGCGACTAAATCTACACTATTAGTTGCCATTATTGCCACAAGTTCATGGATCTTATTCCCTAAACTGCGAGCATTTGTAGACTTGACTCTAAGCTTATCATTTTTTAACACACTTGCTACAGGCACCTTCTGTCCTTGTTTTGGGGGACAATTGGATTGATGTGTTATCACCCTTTTGCCCCCCCCCTCCTAGTTTAAATACATCCTAGCAAAACCTCTGAACTGCTCACTGAGAACATTTGTTCCCTTTTGAGAAAGATGCAAACCATCTTTTTTGTACAGCTTATCTCCATTCCAAACAGAGCTACCATGAGAAATAAAGCCAAATCCTTGCTCCCGACACCATTCACCAAGCCACAAATTAAAGTCCCTAATACGCATCCGCCTGTCGTTCTGAGTTTTATGCACAGGCAGAACTTCAGAGAATGACAGTGTGGAAGCAACCTGCCGTATATCATTGGCAAAAACACTAAAAACTTCCTTAACCTCTGAAACCTCATTGCAAGCCAAGTCATTTGTCCCTAGATGGACAAGTACATCCAATTCCCCTTCCTGCTTTGCTTGCTTAACAATATTACAGATACGTCTCCTGTCTCTGTGAGCAGTAGCTCTGGGAAGACACCTCACAAGACCACCATTGTCCATCTCCACACCTCTTATGATGGAATCCCCCAAAAACATCTGCTTTCTATTAGGCCTCACCATAGTCTCCAAGCTGGTCTCCACAACACCACTAGCCTCAGTGCCTCTCTCCATAACACCACTAGCCTCAGTGCCTCTCTCCACAACACCACTAGCCTCAGTGCCTCTCTCCACAACACCACTAGCCTCAGTGCCTCTCTCCACAACATCATTACACTCTGAAAGTGCAGAAAATGAATTATGAAGAGCAACAGACTGTGCAAAATGCCTTTTATCCACAACTCTAAGTCTACCAGATCCTACAGT